ACTTTATCAACACGTCGATTATTCGATAACTCCAAAGTCTATTTATTTAGAGACAAATTCTCAGATAACATACAGTTGCCAGCAATTTGGCGTGGATTTTGATTACCAACATACCGTTGTAAATAAGTTAATGAAAATTTAAAATAAAACCTATAAAATTTATGTAAGACTGGCTTTGAATCGCCAGTTGACAAGAATAATTTTGCAACATCTTGAAATAATTACACATTTTTAATAATTCATAGATTTACTATTCACGATAAAAACTATAAATAATAAAAAAATATATTTTACAATTTATTTCGGGCAATTTGTGAATATCTCCAGAAGTAAAAGTAAAATTCCTCAGTATATAGGGGAACACAAATAAAACTCAACAATGCAGTATATTATTTACCAAAATTAACTGGAAAACGAATTCAATAAATTTCGGCATTTTTAATTCAAGTGACACTGATATTTTCAAACGTAATAAAATATCGAATTACAATATAAAAAAAATATTGAATAAACTCCAATACAGTGTTTCCCAAACTTTTTTCTGCCAGCGCCCCCTTTGACGACTTTTTATCTAGCAAACGCCCCCCTAAGAAAAAAGTCAAAGCAACTTTATTCTTCATTTATCATTAGTATAATGTGAAGGTTGAGCCTAGTGAAATACCACCAGATTGATAATATCTGGGTTCATTTCAGTCAAAATTAGTCTTGAGTCTCGTCTGACACTGTCGAGGGAATATCTCTTAATATGTAAAAGTGCTGTCACTGTACTAAATACACGCCCTACCAAGTATAAACTGACAAGAGCAATAAAAAACGTTTGACCCGATCTCACACGTTGGGTTATGTCAATTTATTCTGTTGCCAAAAAGATGGAACACTGAAAGTTTAACCATGGATTTGAAGTATAAACCCAAGGGTAGTGGTGCATTTTCGCTTCTGGAAATTCAGGATTATCTAGAAAACAAAGCGAAAATTTGTTATCTATCTCAAAAAATATTATTCAATTTTGTTTGCGCTTGAACTTCTGTTTGTGTATGATTATACTCAGAAGTTTCGCAAAATTTTCAACCACCCACTTGGTTGTCTGCTGAAGCGCACCATCTGCTGTCAGGGAAGGAAAGAGTTCAAACGGTGAATACAAAACATTACGTGGTTGTGCCGAGAAAAATCTGAACAGTGCAGTGGTTCCAGCATGACGAGGCGACCCCCCATGCATCATTTCAGACGCTTTCATTCCTGAGAGAACAGTTAGCAATGACATCCAGTGGGCAATTTAATTATCGGACTAAAACCTCTCAGATTTTGGTATGTAGTATGTTCGAATTATCGATTTAAATTGGTAAGTATGTTGATAGGTATTTGTCTGTCTGTATTTGCAGTCTGACATTTCGAATGATTCGAGTTTAGCAGTCTTAAGAATCCCTTCAATATTCTCAAAAAAGATCGCTGTTTTTCTAACGTCATGTCTATTGAGATGTGAAACTTGTAATTTTAATGCTGATCTATTCAAATCCAGTCAGTGTTGGAAACTAGTTCAGATTTAATACTGGTAAATAGAATTGCAGTCTATTGTAGTATGACACTCTATTGCTTCCTACAGGAAATTTCGAACCTATAGATTAGAATGCAAACAATACACGGAAATTCTACAACGTCAGTTTTTATTCAATTCATTCGCTTTGAAACACATGACGTTAGCGAAATTTATAAAAGTATATGACGGTCATTGCACGTTATAATATTGCTTTAAACGTCGATTTCTCGATAACTCCAAAGTTTATTTATTTGGAGACAAATTCTCAGATGACATACAGCTGCCAGCAATTTGGCGTGAAAAATGAATTTTTCATCAACTTTGATTAATAACATACCCTTGTGAATAAGTTAATGAAATAAAAAATAAAAACTATAAAATTCATGTAGGACTTGCTTTGAATCGCTAGTTGAACAATTTTGCAACATCTTGAAATATATACACATTTTCATTAATTCACAAATTTAATATTCGCAATATAAACTATAATAGAAAATATATTTTCTAACAGTTTTAGGGCAATTTGTGAAGTTATACAGAAGTTAAAGTAAAATTCAATTACCTCAGAATATTAGGGAACACTTTCAAAACTCGAATGTAGTATATATATTATTTACCAAATTAACTGAAAAACGAAGCTAAGAATTTTGGAATTTACAATTCATTGTTACTTTACAAATGCACACAATTTTTCGTTTCAATTCCTAATCGGGCATTCTTATTTTCAAGTGATGCTGAGCATTTCATACCTAATAAGATATCAAATTACAACACATGGAAGGAATAGAGTAAACTTTAAAATATTAAAAAACGTTTCAGCTCGTCGAATTCGTCATTTCAAATATTTCGTCAAAAATTCAGTAATATATCTTATTTAATTGAAATTTTATCACCAACAAAGGTTGATCTCTAAAGCTAATAAAGTCCACATCAATTATAAAAAGTATCTCGGCAAACACTATTTGTACATAAAATGAGGTTTCATCCAATGCAGCCAAGTGAACAGAAGTGGGAAAATATGTGTATTCTAAACTAGTGGTTCTCAAACTTTTTCGTTAAATCCCCCCTCAGCATATGTTACCTACTTTTATTTACTATTCTTTTCCTATATTTTGGCAGTTTTTATGATGATTGTTTTCATGTCGCTATTTTTGCCTTTGGGATTCGGGTATGTTGTCGGGAAAATGATGGCGTGTTTTGGTTCGCGACTATAAACAATCTACAATCAGTACATCACAATCGAAGCCGGCTGTGTATCTTCGGGCCTTGCCGAGGTTGGATTGCCTCGGTACTGTTTGTTTATCGGTGAATACATTCAAACGTTCATATTACTTTAGTATATTGTGAATAAAAAACACAGACATCTTCAATCATTGCACTAAGCGACATACAGTACAGCAGGAAACATAGAGTGAGAGCTTAACTGTGTCATCAAGCGACATAAATAAAGCAACAACACATTTTATATTTCAGAACTACAGGTACTATCCTACATTTGGAATTTGTTTATGGTCCAGCGCGGCTGCTGTTTTTTTGCTTCTAATCTACTGCATTTTGCTTTCATGAACATATAAATTAGGCCGACACTGTGGGAAGTGCAAGTCATGGATTATTCATTTTGTTGCTTTTCCTCTTGGTGTAACTTTTAGTTATTGCAGTGTATTGAGGGAACCTTTTTTTTGTGATGAAGCAAATGAGGATTTTGAAGACTTATTTCACAATCTCTAGCGTAAAAGATATTTCAAGTGACTAAATTTTGAAGTCTACAATAAGTTGAAATGGATATATTATGGAACTACTATTTAGAAATTGCGAAACGTCTGAACAAAACTTATATTTATGCATTATACTTCATACGAAACCCTATTTTTTGTCAAAATACATCTCACCAAAAAACGCATGACTTTTTCTATGTTCGTGATTCAATTTACATATATTTGCGTACAATGTGTGTGTATATAATTACAATAAAACTGTGTCATGGTTTTCGATCAATTCCCCACAAAAACATCTTGAAATCGATTCTCTAACAATTAGCGATGAGCAGTGATGCCTCGGTATTTGACCATAATTTGTTGCGAATTGGTGTTTGACTACCGATTTGTCCAAGTACCGGAACTGTTTTCTCCGTGTTGAGAAACAATGGTAATTATTTTTGCACTCATAAAAAAAAATTGAGTAAAATTTTTATTTTTCGAGTGATGTAGTTAATATGAGGATTTGATACAAACAATTTGTTCATTTTTCTGAAATGCGCTCTGCTAGCCATTTCAAACGAGCCATGAGTGCCATCACCAACTGGAAGATATATTTACATAAATAGTCGCTTACACATTTGGGCAGAATGGCAGTTTTAGTGACTTCATTATTGGGCAGCACTTACTTGTACAAGCAAGTTTTTTCACAGATGAACCATATCAAATCTCCTGTGAGATCACTAATTTCTGACAGTCATATGGAAAATTTGCTTCGCATTGCTACATCGTCCATTTCAGCGAATATTGACAAACTTGTTAGCCAAACTTCACACTAAAATATCTATGTGTAGGAAAAACTTTGTTGACCTTACTGTATCTTCGTTTTTCTATTGTTTTTTAATATTGAAAAAGTTTGGTGCAATGGTTTTGTTTGTTTTTTCATTAACTTTTAGTCAGTGTAGCAAAACTAAAACATATTTACCATGTTAGGTGGCCCGAGCAATTATTAGTAAACTAAATGTGGCCCATCGGCCAAATAGGTTGGCTGACCCTGATCTAGCACATCATTTGCGGGAAGAGTATTGCAACTAGACCAAAGCTCCTCGAAATACATGAAGAAAATCAAGGTATTCAATTTGCACCTAATTTTTGGAAACACAATTGAAAACTGACAAATTACACGCGAAACGACAAGAACAGGGCAAACATCAGGAAAAATCCTGAACATTGAAAACTCCGAGTCGAAATATAAATCTAACAAGTGCTTCGTAAATCTCTATTGAGCCTTTTTGAATCGTGCTTGGTTATACTGTGGTTGAAGCGTTCTAGGTATGTAGTAAGAAGTTTGAACGCTATTAACGCATAACTATGGATGTATATATATCCTAATACTGATTTATGTTCGTTTAAATCAGTAGTGGGAACGGTTTTTGAACCAGAGACCAAAAAGTTTGCTCCCCTAGTCTGACGGGCCATGTAAGTGTAACGTAAAAAGTTACATTTTATGAACAATATTTACAGAGTTACAAAGCAAAAATGAAAAACAATAGGTCTCGTGCCAAAACTAAATTTAACCGCAATCTCAACAAATTCCCTGAACTATTTTTCCCTAAAACATCAAAATTTGGTTTCAGTTTGGTTGTGGCAGCATCAGGCGGGCCAGATTGAATTACCCAACGGGCCGGATTTGGCCCGCGGGCCGTACTTTGCTCCTGTCTGGTTTAAATACTCTGATATGACCCAAATGCAAAGTTTACAAAATGATCAAATATTATTGTAGAATATTTTATTATTCCATATTCAGCAAAGTAAAATTTATTTTCTCTGTTTGCGTTGTTCTTCCTCTCTTTGCAAAAACTTGACTCTTGAATGACTCATGACCATCAAAGTCATTAACCTGTGTGAATTCATAAGACAAATTAGATAAGTAGAAAAACAAATCAAATTTTTTTTTGTAGAAAATACCGTTCTATCGGTAAAATATAATAATATAGTTTTAAAATGCTTCTCAACACGCCTAAAAATATTGGCGCTCCAGAAGTATGTGTACCAAGATGACGCACAATCTGAACCCTAACCGGGTACACATATATGTTGAGGTTGTGCGACATCTTGGGACACATACTTCAGTAGCACCAAAATATTTAGGAGACAACAATAGGCCTTTTCGGAGTTGATTTATGAACCTATACTGTTGCTTAAAAGTGATCCCCATGCTACTATGTACTTTGGATTAATTCTAAATTCAGTTTGGACCAGTATAGGGCCGATGGTATTGTAGAAATTGAAAGTGTGGTCGCATAATATTATGAATTTACCATTATTAAGACATATTAGGTCGATCGCACAATTGCTCAGAATTATACTGATAGGTTTTATGCTGAATATGATATTAGTCGATCTTTAATTAACGTAAAAGTATGATGTTTAATAACATCCTACTTTCAGACAAATTGATTTATTTGTAAGACATAATACAATTTATTTCACGGCGCTCCGGATTTATTCGTACCAGGATGACGCACAACCTGAACAACCCTAACCTGGTACACACACTATGTTCAGGATCTTGTTAGGACCACCATGTTCCTGCCACACGGAACAAAGTGAGGTAGTCAGGATTGGCGGGTGGCCGATGGTATCTGAGAAATGAGATAATGCTGCAAAATATTAAAAATTTACCTTGATTATAGCATTTCCACATACCCCAGTCACAATATTGACCAGGTTCACATTCGCCGTATAATCCACAGTCTACACAAGAAACAAATTAGAAATACAATGTAACTGAATCATTGAAAACAATCTGGCAAGCCAAATAACGGACACGCGGAAATAATGTCGATCTATATTTACGGTTATATCTGAAGGCTTTAAAAGAATACAGGGTGTCTCAAAAGTACGTAACACTTTTAATTTTGATTTGCTTTTTAGGTACTCACAACAGAGCGTTCATTTCTCCAAGAAATATAGTATGAATTAGTTGTAAAATTTAGGTACTGTTTAAATTTTTCATCAACCCACAGAATGACAAGGAGATTAACCCAAGAAATGAGGTTCAAAATTGCTGTTTGGCAAAAAGCATATAAATCAGTAAGGCAAACTCAGCGCCTTTTTAGCAGAGAATTTGGAACTAATTCATCTCCTACACGATGAACAATTTATGCAATTCATTGTAAATGTATGGAAACTGGATCTGTAGTTGATGCACAAAGATCAGAAAGACCAAGCAGCAGACGCTCTAAGGAAAACTATCAGAGCCGAATTAATTCCAAATTCTCTGTTAAAGACGCGCTGAGTTTGTCCCACTTTCGTATGCGTTTAGTCTCATAGAATTCAGTTCCTAATATCACACAATGGCTGAGATCATAAACCATAATAGCACCATGGTAACTCAAGAAAAGTATTTTGATAATAGTATAAACTTACCTTCATCGTCACAAGCCCCTAGATACTTATCGCAGTATTGGTCAGATTCACAATCATCGTCGCTTTCACATTCGACTAAAAAAATGGAAATACATTCATTATACGGTAGTGTTACCATATTTTTGTGACTTCAGAATGGGACGCCCTCGAAGTACATTGCTATGATTTTATCAAATTTAAAGTACCGATTTCACATTAGGGGCCTACATTTAAAACCATCTCCGCTGTCTTCATCGACTATATTGTCATTGAGAGTTCATACGTTGTCTGTCCAAATATCGGTTTCAGTTCGAAAAATGTAAAGGAGGGTACATTATCTTCAATCACCCTTTTATCGATGTTAGCGGAAAACAGCGAAACAAACAAAATCACGCATTCACCCTCAGTAAGTAGGCTACCGATACGCTACACAGCAACGAGATCATGCTAATTGGTATTCGTGTATTAATTGGTATTCGTGTATTAATCTGGCTGAACGCCAAAGCGAGACATTTTGCTGACCGGTCGGGGCGCCGGGACAGGACGTTGAAAAGTGTGACTGTCCCGCCTAAAACGGGACGTATGGTAAGCCTAATTATACCGTATTTTACTGACCATACGGACGTATTATAGGGCGTACTGTCGATATTTTCGTAGGTTGCGTTTTTATTCAAACATATGGCGCAATGGCCCTATAAGACACATTGAGTTTCAAAGCAATAACGGCACTGGTTCTGGGTGTAGGCAATAAAGCACTACCCGAAACATACATTAGGCGCACTGGCTTATATGACGCGCGATCGCTTTTTGAGAAAAAAATAGATTGAAAGTTCTCCCATTGGTCCCCAAATAACAGTACTGTAACCAAATCATTCACAACAATCTGGAAACAAAATTATCGGCTATGCATAAAAATTTATGATCGATACATTTAGTTAATATCATGCCAAATATTGGAATCAGCCCATCCCTTGAAAAGTAATGAGTCCAACTTTGGATGCTTAACGTGATATTGATATCAATTCCGTACAATTGGTGTCACTTTGGTAGGCGTTCATTCTCATAGAATTCAGTTTCTAACCCGAACAGAAATCACAGTGAATACTCAACCGCTGAGATCATATTGACTGGGGACAGACAAATGTTCTCTGTAGAAATAAGATATTGCTGCAAAATTTCAGAAATTTACTTTTATCTCGGCATTCCCAGATATTGTCGCTACAATATTCATCAGGTCCACAAATAGCGTTATCTCCACAGGCTGCACAAAGAACAAATTAGAAGTTAAATGTAACTGTGTCAATTACAACAATCTGGTAAGACAGATATCGAGCATGCAGGAAAATTGATGATCGATACATTTAGGTATATCTGACTGATACTATGATAAATATGGGAATCAGTCTACCCCTAAAAAAGTAATGGATTCAGCTTTGTTTGTTAAGCGTGATACTGATGTTATTGTAGAACTTAGAAACTATTGTTGGATCTTATGCAGAAAGCCGTAAAAATGTAAATTTTTACTAACCATAAAACTGTCCGCAAGCTTGATCCAGCAACATGGGCATTATAGCAGCCGACAGCAAGAGAGATACCATAAATTTCTGCATCGTGACTTCGAACTTTTAGGTCGTTTAGATAGTTTTTTCAAACTAAAAAAAAAGGCGCTCTCATAGTATTTGTACCAAGATGGCGCACAGCCTGCTAACCCTGACCTGGTACACATACTATGTTCAGGTTGTGCGCCATCTTGGTACAAATGATACAGGATTTGAAGTCTTCGACAAACAATATTGGCGATGAAATTATTTTTAACTAAATTTCTAAGCAGAAGAAATGAAATCGCTATAGCTGAAGCGTCAGACTATAGAACATAGAATTTTTTCTGATTTTTTCTATACTTCACCGATATATTCCAAACAGTTTGAAAAGTACTAATTTCGTTCCTGGAACCTCAACAAGCTCTTGCCTTTAAGCAAACTGATATTCCCGGCTCGAAGTATCGAGAATATATATTCGTTCTTCGCTTGTTTCTCTTTAATCAAGAGAACGAGAGAAACAAAGTTACATTAAAGAAAGAAAGAAATACAACATGTTTCTTTTTTTATCAAATGTACTGTTGCAGTTTCTTTAAAACGAGAGAAACAAAGTTACATTAAAGAAAGAAAGAAATACAAAACGTTTCTTTTTTCATCAAATGTACTGTAGCAGTTAATTTAAAACGAGAGAAACAAAGTAACATAAAAGAAAAAAGGGATTACAAAAAGTAAACCTCAAGATGAGCAAATGTTCCTACCTATTATTATCTTATGCATTGGTAATCATTAAAAAAGAGCAAAATTAATGTGGGTCTCTAGGTTGAGTTAAATAAAGCGAATCTCTTTTTTCATTTGCTGAAATAATCATAATATGAAGCTGCCTTTGCAAAATTTTGGCGCAAGTCTAGCTAGTGAGAACATTAGTTGCGAAATTGAAATTCGCAGAACGTTTCAGGCAATACTTAAATCTCAATTTTTTTCCTGAAACATTCGTAATTTGTGAGTTGTTTTTGCAATGCCTCGACTTATTTTAAAAATTTGGAAACGACTAACTAGCGAGAACAATTGTTTTAGAGGTTAAAATTCGCGGAACGTTTCAGGCAGTTCAATACACTTATTTTATTTTATAAAACATTCATAAATTGTGAGCTGTTTTTGCCAAACCGAAATAATCATAATTTGAAGCTGTTCTTGCAAAATTTTGGCGCGAGTCTAGCTAACGAGAACAATAGTTGAAGGGATGGAAATTCGCGTAACGTTTCAAGCAGTACTTAACAACCATTTTATTTCCTAAAACATTCATAATTTATGATCTGTTTTTGAATTGCTTCAGAGGTTAAAATTCGCGGAATGTTTTGAGCGGTTCTCTACACTTATTTTATTTTATAAAACAATCATAATTTGTGAGCTGTTTTTGCAAAACCGAAATAATCATAATTTGAAGCTGCTCTTGCAAAAATTTGGCGCGAGTCTAGCTAGCGGGAACAATAGTTGAAGAAATAGAATTTCGCAGAACGTTTCAAGCAGTACTTAACAATCAATTTATTTCCTAGAACAATCATAATTTGTGATCTGTTTTTGAATTGCTTCAGAGGTTAAAATTCGCGGAATGTTTTGAGCGGTTCTCTACACTTATTTTATTTTATAAAACAATCATAATTTGTGAGCTGTTTTTGCAAAACCGAAATAATCATAATTTGAAGCTGCTCTTGCAAAAATTTGGCGCGAGTCTAGCTAGCGGGAACAATAGTTGAAGAAATAGAATTTCGCAGAACGTTTCAAGCAGTACTTAACAACCATTTTATTTCCTAGAACAATCATAATTTGTGGCATGTTTTCGCAATGCCTCGATGGTGCGAGTTTAGCTAGCGAGAACAATAGTTGCGGAAACAGATATTCGCAGAACGTTTCAAGCAGTACTTAATAACCCTTTTATTTCCTAAAACAATCATAATTTGTGGCATGTTTTCGCAATGCCTCGACTAATTTTGGAAATAGTGGCGAGTAGCTAGAGCAGTGGTTCTCGAACTTTTTAAGCCGCGTCCCATTTTTAGAATTTGTCAAGTCTCGCGCCCCACCTTAAAAATAAGTAGCTAATAATAAGCTGCAAATAACAGATAATAAAGCGAAAGTAATATAGCATATGATAAAATACCAACCAGCATTATAGCGACATCTAGGCTCAGGTCACATGACCCGTGACGCGCTGCCACGTTTCTGGCTTTTTCGAACCTTGCAAATTATGGGACTCGCTTTCTGGACACTCGATTACAACACTCGTCTTCTGGCACTCCGTTACAACGCTCGACTCTTACGCAGCTCAACTACCTCTATCACCGCAACTCAACTAAGTTAAGTTCCTTGAGTGTTTTAAATATCTATTTTTTGCTTTCATCATCGCATTTAATACAACATACAACAAATATCTTACCCGTTTTATCAGAGACTTGAAAGCAGACAGGAATGAGGAAGCGTAGTCTCGGTCCGCGGAGTTTAGGGAACAACAGCAAGAACCATATAGCACACTGCAATCTCTAAACAATAAAGAAATGTAAATATTCAAAGTAAGGCGGGCAAGATCAAATCCAACAAATATATATTATTATTTTTAATTAGTTTCACGCCCCTTCAAAAATTGATTACGCCCCCTTTCTCGGGGGCGCCCCACCGTTTGAGAACCACTGAGCTAGAATGAACAATTATTTTGGAAAAGTAAACTCGCTGATCGTTTCCCGCAACTATTGCTAAATTGCCACAAGGACGTTATTTGCGTGTTGGTTAATAGTCGCTCTACATTGTAAATATTGAACAGCAAAGCGTTATTGATTACAAAGTATAGTCCTATTTCCTTGAATGGTGTTTGTGGACAGCCCCCTGATAAGCTGGTCACTCATTGTTGAATATTGTTAGTATACCCAGGCCCGGATCATTGCCTCTAACATTGGTGCCATATATATAAAACATACTAATACCGTGTTACCCCGAAAATAAGACTGGGTCTGATTTCAATTTTCTTCGAAAAATAACACTAGGGCTTATTTTCAGGGGATGTCTTATATTTTCATTTATCAAAAACAAAATTACGAAGTAGAGCATATGAGATTTCCAAATATACAAAATATATATAAACTAATATCCATTTCCTTATAAATACCATTTTTTAATTTAAAATAACTGCAAAACATAGATTATCAATCATTTAAAACGTGCAGGAGAGATTTCTTGCTATCAACTCGGTGAAAAAAAATTTCGCGTTTTTAACTAGGGCTTATATTGAGATCATTTTTAAAATTCAGGCTATGTCTTATTCTCAGGGTGGGTCTATTCACAGATTATTTCCTATTCACCAGTTCCTTCATTGAATGCTTCAATAGAATCCTTAGTCAGGTCTTCAACTTTAGCACCACCGACCGCATACATTTTATTATCAACAACACACGCACTGAAACATTATCTATTCATCTTCATTTTTGCTTCATTTAGTTCTATTTACTTGAATGGTGTTTGTGGACAGCCCCCTGATTAGCTGGTCACTCATTGTTGAATATTGTTAGTATACCCAGGCCCGGATCATTGCCTCTAGAACATTGGTGCCATATATATAAAACATACTAATACCGTGTTCCCCTAAAATAAGACTGGTTGTGATTTCAATTTTCTTCGAAAAATAACACTAGGGCTTATTTTCAGGGGATGTCTTATATTTTCATTTATCAAAAACAAAATTACAAAGTAGAGCATATGAGATTTCCAAGCATACAAAATATATGAAAACTGATATCCATTCACTCATAAATAAAACTTCTTAATTTAAAATAACTGCAAAACATAGATTATCAATCATTTAAAACTTGCAGGAGAGATTTCTTGCTATCAACTCGGTCAAAAAAAAATTTCGCGTTTTTGACTAGGTCTTAATTAAGGGAAGGGCTTATATTGAGATCATTTTTAAAATTCAGGCTATGTCTTATTCTCAGGGTAGGTCCATTCACAGATTGTTTCCCATTCACCAGTTCCTCCATTGAATGATTCAATAGAATCCTTAGTCAGGTTTTCAACTTTAGCACCACCGACTGCATACATTACATTATTATCAACAACACATGCACTGAAACATTCTCTATTGATCTTCATTTTTGCAATTTCTGTCCACGAGCGAACAACAGGGTATAACAATGAACAAGGTTGTGAGGGTTCCCATTCCAACCTCCCAATACATAAACCATACTTTGAAAAACGACTGCTGCACTACCATAAGCTCTATAAATCATTTGTGGCAAAGCAGACCATTCATGACTCAATGAGTTCCAGGATCGTAGATTTTTGCTTTGCTTTGTGTTGACGAACCCCCCATCGCATATAAAATTCGCGGAATGTTTTAAGCGGTTCTCTACACCTATTTTATTTTATGAAACAATCATAATTTGTGAGCTGTTTTTGCAAACCCGAAATAATCATAATTTAAAGTTGCTCTTGCAAAAATTTAGCGTGAGTCTAGCTAGCGTGAACAATAGTTGAGAAAATTTGCAGAACGTTTCAAGCGGTTCTTAACACTCAATTTCATTTCCTAAAACATTCATAATTTACAATCTGTTTTTGACTTGTTTTTAGAGGGTAAAATTCGCGGAATGTTAAAGCAGTTTATAACACTTATTTTATTGTATAAAACATTCATAATTTGTGAGCTGTTCTTGCAATATCTCGGACTCCTGCAAAAAAAATTGGAAACGACTTATAGCTAGCAAGGACAGTTGGCTTAGACACTCAATTTTATTTCCTAAAACATTCATAATTTGCGATCTGTCTTTGAGTTGTTTTAGAGGTTAAAATTCGCGGAATGTTTCAAGCAGTTCATTACACTTATTTTATTTTATAAAACATTCATAATTTGTGAGCTGTTCTTGCAATATCTCGACTCCTGCAAAAAAAATTGGAAACGACTATAGCTAGCAAGGACAGTTGGCTTAGACACTCAATTTTATTTCCTAAAACATTCATAATTTGCGATCTGTCTTTGAGTTGTTTTAGAGGTTAAAATTCGCGGAATGTTTCAAGCAGTTCATTACACTTATTTTATTTTATAAAACATTCATAATTTGTGAGCTGTTTTTGCA